AAGGTACCTGCCTTGTTGGACAAATAAGCTGGATTGAAGTCACAAATGAATTGTACCTGGGAACTTCCTTTCAGGACTGTTACTAGTGAAAATGTTGAGAAAATCCCTGCGTTAAAGGATGGTCAGGGCTCTGCTCTGTGGTGTGGGCTGAACTGCAGCTCCCTCTCAAGGTTTAGAGATTGCTTGAAATTTGGGCAAGGATGAGATGGATGTAAAAAGAAAAACAAAAAGGGATGAAAAGAGGTAAAGATTCTACACTGCTGACTTTGGAGAACCTTGTAATCTTTTTCTGCCACTGTGGAGGACAGCAGTAGTGGTGTGTGTTTTATTTTTGAAGGCAGAGCAAGAGAGGAGTTCTGGATTGGCTCTGAGATGGCCTCTGGCTTTCAAAGGTTCAAGTAGGTGCTTTATAAAAATCTATGGGACTAGCAAAAATGCATTGTTCTGTAGTGCAGGTAATTTTTTTTATTGGTGCAAATGGATTAAACCCCACAAAATGTCCATTTTTGCCTAACCTGGACACTTTCAGCATTTTTAGGCTCTTAAAAAAGCTAAGCAAGGAGGCTGGTTCATTTCTACTCGTGTTTTGTTTCCTAAGAAGTGTTTGCATCAGTCTTTTTGAATCTGGGTTATTATCATATGAAATGGAGTTGCTAAACCTTACATTATCAGTAATTAATATAATGATTGTTTCTCTTTTCATTTTTGTGGGCTTTCTAGTTCCTCTGAGTGGTGATGATGTGCAGGCTGCCCTTTCTTAATGAATTATTTACACATTATGGCTGGTAACTAGAGAGAGAAAGATACTTTGTGCCTCGTTATAACATTCCCCTAAATTACTGCGAAGATGCTGCTGTGTCAGTACTACCACAATGCTACTTCTGGGCTTTTAATCAGCTCACCATGCTGCAGATCTGCAAATAGTGTTGTTCACAACAATTTAAGGCTCTTGGCTAAACACTACAAAGAGCTTCAGCCTGGGACTTGCTGAAGTCCCCAGTGGTTGCTCGAGCCTGAGTGCTAATCCTTATGCTTTGCAGCCTGGGCTGAGATTTGTCAATAGGTTTTAAAAAAAAAAGCCGATTCAAATTTAGGAAGATGTACAAATGCTTGAGGTAGGCAGGGAAGAGCTGTGTGAGTTCAGGGAAATCTTCATCTCTCCTAACCTTTAAAGGTCTGTGTGCATCTCTTGGTGATTTACTTAAAGAATGCCTCTGGATTCCTACATCCAAGTGAAAGGATAAATCCAGCGAGAGGTTCAAGTGAATGTGAAACTAAGGAGGGAGAGTTAATAACCCAGGAAAGGAAAGCTATGCACAAATAATTGCAACTCTTCCTGGTGTTGTTTAACCCCAGGCAGCTGCTCCCTCATTCCCCCACCAGCAGAATCAGGGAGAAAACTGGAAAAGTGAAAGCCAGAAAACTCGTGGATTGAGATAAAGACGCTTTAATGGGGAAAGCAAAAGCTGTGCACACAAGCAAAGGAAAACAAGGAATTAATTCACTGCTTCCCGTGGGCAGGCAGGTGTTCAGCCATCCAGCAGCCTCCTGTGCCATGGGGAAGTACAGAGATGCACAGATACACCATGATGAGGAAGGGGAATTTTGGAGTTGCGAGAGGACAGGAGACCACCTTGCAGTGCAGGGTAATATCTGGGGAATGTTGTTTTAATTTTTTTATTTCTGGTTGTAGCAAATGTTTTCAATGCTGATTTCAAGGTGTGGTTTTCAAAGTTGGTGCCCCTGCAGATTCAGAACAGGCACACTACAGCTTCCCTCTGTAGCATGTCTGCTCTGTGGTCCTCAGTCCTTAAAAGGGAGAGCCATTTTTCAATTCTTGGCCTGTCTAAAGATGATGTTTTTGAAGTGCCCAGTTTGTGGTTCATACCCATCATCTCTGATTCCTTCTCCTCCTCCATTCTGAAGTACCTTACCATTCTTACAGATCATCTTACATGATGGAGCAGATCCTGTTTATAAGTTATGTTTTATAAGTTTGCCATCTTCCTTTCAATCCAATACTTTCAGTGTCCCATTTTGCCTTACTCTTTTCACTGCTGATCTCCCTATGCCCTTTTCATGTTTGAATAATTGCCCAGTGACTTAGATTTACCTTATCTCCTATTGTAAAAATTTTCAGGAGGAGAACGTGTCTACATAACTTGCTTTACCTTTATGGCACTATAGAATATAAATGGTTGTTATTAATAATGCATACAAAAATGGCCTCTTATTTGACAAGTCTACTTCTATTTTAACATATAATATTTATGTCATACTTGTAAGTAGTCGTCAGCATATTTCATAAAATTAATGGAGTCCCACAAAATGGGAACTCGCTACTGTGGCTGGCTGTAAAATTTTTGCTGAGAAATGGAAAGAGGATGCAGGATTTTGTATGCAAATTATGAAAGCTGAAGATTTGTCTTTGTGTGTATTTGGCAGCCAGTGTTGGAAACAGACTGATATATGTGATATATTAAAACATTTTAGAATGATAGAGAAAAGAAAGCTTCAAATTTTGTTGAAGCTATTCAAGTTAAGACATGCAAACTTTAATTAAAGAAGCCAAGCACCAGCTGAATCGAAGCCACTGATTTGTTTTCACTGAGAAAAACAGCTCTGAATGATAAGAAGATGGAGAGTTTGCTTAGTGAGAATAAATTCATACATGATGTTGATTGTCTAAACCATATTTGAGAAATAGATAATCTGAAGGATATTAAAAAATAAAGAGAAGCATAGCATGTCTGCTGCCTTTTCCTCAAGCATTCCTTAAGCTGTATCCACTCCATAAGTCTCAATGTAAAATTCTATGGAATTGTTTACTCTGAGTGTAAAATTGACTTCACTAAAATGAACAATTTTGCCACTGACTCAAATGGAGCTGGTTTTCTTGCTGTACAAGTTATTATTAGAAAGAAAAATGTTGATTGATGCAAGAAATTTATCCCTGTTAGCCCAGTTTTGGTGATACCATGGATATAAAGATGGAAGATTGCCCAAGCAGGTTTCAATTGTGACCAGTCAATTAATGCTCTATTGGAAAACATCACTATGCTTCAGTGTTACACTGTTGCCTCCTAATTTTTTGCTTTGGAACAGAAAGAAGTGAGAATTTGATAATTAGATACTGAGAACTATATTACAGTCTATCAAATCCTATGGCAGATGTGAATAGTTGTAAGGTTTGCTTAGATCTGTAAATATATCTTAGTATAAAACACAAATAGAATCTGCATGTTGTCTCACTTTTTTAGTGAGAAATGTTCAGGTTTGGGATTGCAGTAAGATGTGGACAATAGTATTTTTTTCTGGACCAGATTGTTATAGCACATTAAAATCACACTGCCAGTTTGTTGTTTTTTTTTTTCTTTAACTTGAGATGCTCAAGACTAATAATAGCTCTGAGCTAATTTGACTGATGATAAGAAAGCAACACATAACTGGAATGAAGGCATAAAATATTAGGAATGAGAAGGAATGTAAAATATCAGCATGGGAATGGTAAAAGGCAAACAGTTATCCACAACTTGGCCACAAAGTGTGCACAGAGTTTGGAGAGCATGTGAAAGTTTTAGAGGGGCTTCCAGTGGGAGGGTTTATTATGGTGAATTTACAGGGTGAGTGAGAGCTGGTGCAGACAGAGGAACTCATACCTGAGACATGAGGGTCAAAGTGCTGACTTTGGAATAATGCTGAATGCTAACAGCCTGCTGGGATCTAGCTGGATTCTGCAGATATGAGACTCGTTCCATCCACCACTCTGTGCGTGTATCAATGCATAAATCTAGGAGAGAGCAAAACCCTGTAGTTTACCTCTTCTTGCAGTATTCAGAGTAGAACTCCTGAGCCTCAGTGACCATTTCCTGGGTTTGGCAGTTTGTTTTTTGATGTGTAATCTCTCCCCCTGCATTTGAGATCAACTAGACAGACAGAGTAATCCCAAGATTAAGGTGGATCATATGAAGGGCTGTTTCCATAGCAGATGCTGCAAGGCCATAGGGCAATGCAGGTGGATCAAATCCTGTTTGTCTAGACTAATTGTCAACTCAGTCCTAGTTCCCTTTTCCCCTGCAGGAAACAAGCCACACCAAACATCCAGTTAAGGAGACTGAATTGGTTGAGATTCTAATCCAGGCTTGCGTTTACATCTCTTCTGAATCACAGTCTGCAGGAAGGTTTGCATTAGTTCATGCTTGCCTTGTTGAGTAGCAGTTTGTCTAGTCCTGGAGCCAGCTGCAGGAGGGCACTGTCTGCTGACTGCTGCGAGGACTTCACTGTGTAACTGAAACTGCTGCAAAAAAATCTCAGAGCTACCCTCAAAAATGATTTAAGCAGGACTAGTAAGTCTTTTGACAGAAATTGATACTACTAAGACTGTTCTGCAAAACCACAGCAGTTTATTTCAGTATCATCTTGGGAGGAGGCTTTCTACTAAACAGAGAAAACAAGGTTATCCAGGAGGTGTAGCTGTTATTTCAATATTTAGATTGGAAATCTTAATGTCCTTCTGAAACAAAATATAGTTACAGTTCCTATGACAACTGTTTCCCTCTCCTCTGGAGCATGGGATAACGACAGGATTTCATTACATGGTCATGTAACACTGGGCATTGTGACAGCCTTGTCATCTCCACTGTGCTGTTTGCTCCTAAATGGCATTTAGCTTTGCCCACTTGTGTTGTGCAGAGCATGAATTGTAGTGACCGACCTTCACTGTGCTTATTGCCTGCAACCTCCCACTTCCCAGCTTCCCTCTTTTCATTAGCAGGCTCATTTTTTACCAAAATTCATTTGGTATGCTGAATTTTATTGACAAAAATTCCTAGAAACTTATTTCAGTGGTAGAAATTCTATGTACTGATGTTAATTAAGAACAGCATCTTAACAAGTACACAGAGTACTGACAAAAATTTGTGAGTATGGCAGCTAAACCAGAATTTGCAGCAGATTACTGTAGTTACTTCTGCAACACACACAAGAAAAACTATAACCAGTTGAACAGATATATTAAAAGACTTTATTCACAATAGAGAAATTTTTACAAATATAAGTTCTTAAAAATTAAGCATCTTGATCTATTATGTATTCCATAACTTCAGTTTATATAAAGATGAAAAGACTAAATGGAATATGTACAAATCAAAACCAATTTAAATACATGATAGAAATGGATATGCATGAAGTTACCATAGAAACAGTGAGCCACTGGGCATTGCAAAAATCTGTGTATAACCAACACATATGAATACTTATCTCACAAACAATTAATTTTTTTCTTTTTCCCTGTGAAATAATGTTGGTGCCACTTAAAGAGATCTACCTCTTGGGACTCAACATATGCAGATTCAAATGCATTATTATGCTACAAAGAAATGGAAGAAGTGTGGGCAGTGTGTTTATGCTAAGATAATGTGTCCATGTCACTTTCTTCTCCCCTCTGCACAGCCTCCCCTCAACAATAAGCAATTTCTTTTGCTCTTACAAATGACTGGGAACACAAAGTCACCATCACTAGCCACTTTCATGAAGTTAGTTAAGTGAATGGGAATTAAAATGCATGTTATCTTACTAATCCAACAAACAGTGGTATTTATGGACTGTTTAAAAATGATTGCTTTAACTTTGGTGTTCTGGGGTTATTTAAAAAAGAAAAATTGATATACTCTCAGTTTATGAAAAGTTTTTTTTCTTACAGTTGGCAGATCTACACGTTGTACAATCTTCTCGTCTACTTACATTAGTTTACAAAAAGTACAGTATAGTGCAGTTTGTACATACAACCTGAATACCAATACCACATCAAATTTGTGCTCTTTCAAATCATCCTAACTCCCACGCTAAGAAAAATTCATACGAAATGTCTGTATTACAAGGAAACAGCCATGATGCTTATATTTAAGTACATAAGACCCAATGCACACAGAGCTGTGTGACTGGAGCCTGCTTTTGAAACATGGAGGAGACCTGTCTGGTTCTCTACTCTTCAGCTCGCTAAGTACCAGCAAGATCACTACAGACAGCTGGGGGACGCAAACCTTGGTTAAGAAAACCATGTAGAAAGTGGCTTAAATAACTACAAAAGCTCAGACAGAAACAGTCTTTGAGAAGTTGTGTTTTCTAACTCAAATGAGGTCTAAAGCAGCACATGCGTGTGGGAGGCAGTAGCAGCAGGTGACACAATAAACATAACTAAGAAAAAAGTAATTATTGTTACATATTAGAAAGAGAGGAAATATTTTGGTTTTATTCCACAGCTATGGTGGTTCAGGGGGTGGAAAAAAATCTCCCTTATAAATACTGTTTATAAAGAAAAACAATGAAGTATGCTCCTCCAACAGTACAAATTTTTGGCTTCTACCTAAGGAAACCTCCACTGCAGACCTCTATCAGCATAGAAAAAATGTACTCTAAAGCCTAAACAAATGTGTTTCCTCAGCTATGATTAGTAATGCTGGACATGTGAGCTATCTTGCTAAATACCACTCAAGAACATTGTTATTCAGAACCAGATTTGTTTCACTGCAGTCCAGTCAATGAATAATGGTCTTTCTCAGAATGGGAAGCCAGGTGTTTCCTATCTGAAATGTATGGAAGTCATCCATGAAATGAAAACACAGGTAGACTTAAAAATCATGTAAACCACTTCAAACCAAGTAGAAACAGGAATTATTCATGCCTCATTTCTTTTTCCCTTTGGTGATGCCACAGAGCAAAATATTTTTGGCAAAGCTGTTGCCTTTCTTAGTAAGCCAGGCCTCTACTCTAAGGAATATTTTTAAGCACATTGCATTTCTGTTACTTAAGACATGACAGTGTTGTCAGAAAGTTTTAGCTCAATGCAGGATAACTTCCTCTCTGAATGACTTATCTTCTTTTGAGGAGGCAGGTTTTCTTCAAGGCATATGAAAGTCTATATTCATATACATTAAATTGCTTTGTGACAATTATCCATCAAGTCTGGTGTCAAGTCTGAACCTACCTAAATCTTTGTGAATGTAACAGAAAAGCAAACAAATTGTATCTGATATAATTCTATGCTTCCAGGAAAATGTCATTGAGTGTTTTTTGTTGTTTTTTTTTTTTTGCCAAACAACCAAATGAAAGCTACTGGACTAAATATATAAAGAAGGTTAATAGTCCCTTTCTTAATATGAAATTACTACCTTATTTTACTCCATAATAGCTTGACTAAAGACGTAAGAATAACACCACTTAGAAAAGGGAGGAAACAATTTATTCTATTACAATATTCTAACCAAAACCTGAAAAACTAAGGTCTGCTAACTAATGTGCTAACTCCATAGAAACTAGTTTAATCTAACTTATACTGCAATTTCACAGTTGTGTCTGCATGAGATGAAAATACCCCTATGTAGACTTCATTGACAATGAAATACATCAGATACTTTAGCAAGTAATGATAGACCCGCATAAGAAGAGGCTGTCACAGTCACAAGATTTGTCCTGGATGACACACAAACTAACATAGAAAAAAACAAATAAAGGAAAAAGCTCTTTATACTTAATTCAATATGGCTTTTTGCAACATGGCAAAATATTACAGCTTAAAGCATACATCTCCTCACAGAGGAGAGTAGAATTTTGCAGTCAAATTAAAAGCATAACAGGAAACAAGTAACATGCAGACCTTCTGCTTTTTTGGCCAAAATGACACTGTAGCCTAACAAAATCTGGGAAGATATCCTATTTCACTTCTAAGAAGCTATTCATCTGAATTAGAAGACTGAGGTTTCATCATAATTTAATTGGGTACATTCATAAAAATTTACTGTTAAAGAAAACAGACTGCAAAACACTTGATTAAAAAATTTAACTTAGGAATTTAAAACCAAATCATGTGCCCAAGTCCTGGAAATGTAAGGAATGAAACAAAGTATAAATTAATCTTCATCTATTTCTGATTTTCTTCTTTATTCCCATCATCTTTGCGAAGGACAGGGAGAGGATGAGCCTCTGTGTTGAAGACCCAGTGTTCAAATGGAAGAAGATCATCTTCAGAAAACAGCAAATACAGGTACCTGGCAAGAAAAAAAAGCAGGAAATGAGACAACATGAGGGAAGTGATTTTCAGGAAAACACATAATAATTCATTTTTCATTTACTTGAGTATTAAATTCCCTGTTGAGATGACATGAGTGATTTTTTTTCTTGCACAGAAAAATAGCCTCCAGAACTGAAGAGATCAAGACAAAACTTTAATCTCATTAAAAATATAGGTGATGATGATAGATAATGAAAGCTTTTAGTTTTCTTTCTTAACAGGTCCTGCAAGCTTTCCATGGAAGTTGTTTTTTTTTTCTTCTTTTTCTAAAGTTTTAAAATGAAAAGTTCTCAATATAAGCCTGATAAGTTCTCTGTCTAGTCAATTTGTTTCATTAGTGCTGGCATATATAAAAAGATAGGAGATGCAATGTCTCAAAAACTATCAAGTACCTTTATCAGAAGTAAAGATAATTTGCAGAAGTCAGGGAATTTAGTTTACTGACATAGATTGGAAAAAAAAAGACAATTTGGCTTCCTGCAACCTAAGAAAAGCTCTGCTATTTCACTCAGATTCTGTTATGTGAATGTCAGGGGTACTAATGATAAATACTTATCTGTAAAGACGATACATAGAACTATTTCACATTAATGAAAGTCAACTTTCTTTACTTACTTGAGTGTCTCTGAAAGGAAGAAACTTTGCTGCACATCGTCATGGCTTTCATGATGGTTATAAACATCTCTAATGCCAGAATAGCCACCATCTACTCTGCAGTGTTTTTCCAGTGCCTGAAGCAGGGAAGAAAACACCCAAATCAGTGGGATTAACAAAATTAATAATATGTCAGTTTTTCTGTTTGACAATGAAACTAGCAAAAAACAGTTGCCACAATTTTTTGATAAAGAGAAGAAAACTTGGTAAAGCTCTAGATAGAAGACTCTTTAAAAAAAGACATAGGCATACCTGTCTAATTTTATACAGGAAGAGAAGGAAAGTAATAAATGAATACAAAGTGAACACAATGCAGCTTTCAGAAGGAAAGACGTATGGGTATAAGGATTTGAAGACATATGGATTTTTTACTTATGCTCTTTTTCCTCTTTTAAATAGGAGTAATAATAGCCTTTCTCTCCCAGTCTTTCAGCTTTTGGAAACTGTGTTACCTATACCTTTCCTGGTCATATTTTGGTACTTAAAATGATAGTGACATAATTGAACACCATACTAAAGATCAGTCTTTTCTCCTGCAAGTCCCTGCAAAAAAAGGAAAGGCAACTCTCCATTTTCTGAGTAAGTTGTATGGCTTCTCTTTGCAATTACTTAATTTTTCAATGGGAAATCACTGATATTGGGCTCTAACCGAATTTCTTTTGTGCAGTAGTCATATTTTTCTTTGCTACCTCTCTGAAAAAGCTTTGTCTGTAACACAGGAGTAGACAGAAAGCCAGGACTTAACACCACATAATTTAGCTGTAACAACAGCAATGTGTTTTTCTCTAGCTAGTTTCCAAACTCTTTATTCAGTTAAAAGGTGTAAAACAAATGACTGATTCCTATTTCCCAATAAAAAGGAGTACATGGCCGCCTAAAAATACAATTTATTTTCTGCCCACAGGAATGTCCTATATTTCGAAGAAGACATATTTTTAAAGGAGTAAAAGGATCAGATGAAGAGTATATATAAAAGGGCAAAAAAGATGCTGGAACTGTAGAAGGTATATACAGTGAGACTATTTAATATACTTTGTTGCTTTTCTTTATCAGGTGTTTGCATTAGAAAGGTGGTACCTATATGCCTATGTATAAGCCATAACTTCTTTAAATATACTGTTATCCAATACTTTATTTAAATATTGGTTATCTTATCACTACTATATTTTAAAATAGTTATTCATCCCTTTTTTCTTTATAATTTACCCATTTAACAGGGCCACAAGTATTCTTACTGTATTCTACTCTTATTCTCTTTTACAGTAACTCTCTGGTATCACACAGTATAAGGAAGGAGGAAAGAGAATTTAAGATGATGATATTTGAAACAACTCATTATTCAAAAACAAATTAATAAAATGCTAGTTAATCCTAAACAACTTCTCATAATGAGAATGACAGCAAGGATGGTGGATGACTGCATTCACTCAGGACAACGCTATTGTGAAACAGGATGTTTGCTGTAGAGATAGTATTGGAACAACGAATTTCAGGCAGAAGCACCTGAGGCTTTATCCCCCCTAAGCAGAGAGCCAGGAGATAACTAGTCCCTCCCTTTCTGAAATTACTACAAATATCACTGAAGTGAGTACAGGATGTGTAGATTTTATTTAGGGAAAGATGCTGCACTTCAAAACACATAAGCTAAAAAGCAAGGGAGAGGATATATCTAAACCCGGCAGAATAAGTACTTTCTGATAGCAGATGGGACTAAGAGTCACTAATAATCAGTGAGGTATTCATCACGTTCCCCTGCTCTAAAGAGTCTTTAAGATGTGTGTTTTGCTGTGAGTAGATATCCTAAATGTCCTTGATTTTGCTGGAGTCCCTGTAGCTGTCTGCACACATTTGGCTTGCACGTCAGGCTCTCCTTAGTTTTCACTGGAGAGTAAGCTGTCTATCATATATTTAAAAGGGATTTTTCTCCAGAAGAGATCCTTTAAAATATAACAGCCTATTTGTCTTTTCTTATGTGTCTTTAGGTTCTTTAATTTTCCTGGACACTTTTACTAAATGACAAATATACTTAAGTTCAAAGAAGTAATTTCCTCTGCCTGGCATTCTTTCCTTCTTGTCTACTCCAACCTGCAACGAATTTAAAATGCTGCATCTGTGTCTGGACTTTCAATGTCAAACAAAAGATGATGTTTCTCAAGGCACAGCAGAAACAGAACTTGAAGGATAAGGCTACTATGCAAGGAAATACCTGCATTCTAAACAGGGCAAGGTAAAATAAAAAGAAATTGGATTTACCATTTATATGCTCTAACATACTTAGAGCCTTCTTTGAGTTCAGAGGCATCATAAAGGTACCTGGAGGCACAGCTATGATGTAAACCAAGGGGTTAATTTGCCCCATGTTTGCCTTCTGGTGATATCTACTTAATGCAAATATGAAGCGTCTCATCCCTCAAAGCTACTTTCCCCCTTACTAAAGGAACAGGACATCCACCTGCAGGATTAGTAGGATAAAAAGGCTCTAGGTTGTCAACCATCCTGGCACTGATGGGCTTCTGTGCCCTTTCCTGCAGCTTGAGAGCACAGTGATGTTCACAGTGATAGAGGCAGTGGTGGGCAGAAAGAAACAATCAAACACATTTTGAATAAATAGTGTTCTGAAAATGAGGGTGGCTAGGATCAGTTATGATACAGTAATGGAAAACATCAAGCACAGTGAAAACTGGCTGACAGTCTCAAACTACCATAAAGGGAAAAACAAAGGAAGTGCTACAAATTTAAAATATGTGCCACATTTATAATGCAGAAAGGGAGGCTTTTATGAGCTAAGCTGATAAAACCTTTCTGACTCAGTAACAGTGGATATTGCTGGTGGTCATAACTGCATTTTCTCCAGCTGCTGAAGTACATACAAAATTATCTTGGACTCAAAGCAGCAAAGCAAATTCACAAAGAAAAAAAGGAGGGGCTACAGCATATTTTTAGTCTATAAAATTAGACAAAGACTTAAGAGACTTGTTAGAGAGTTTAGAAGTCCTGACTCTAAAACAGTCTCCATTTCTAATACAAGGACACTGGGAAGAAAACCCTAATGAGTTCTTATTGCCAGAGTAATGAGTTGAAAATGGATATGAAACACCTGAAGAACAGCTTTTTTGGACAAAATCCAAATGGTCTGATTGTTTGTTTCCTCTTTTTTCGTTTCAATTTCAGGTTCCCATTTGTGCAACAGATACTGGTAATTAAACCAACGACCTTCAGTGGTTGAGGGCTTCCCCAAGGACACAAAGGGTGTCCTGGGGTACAATGCAAAAATGTGTATTCTATCACCATCT